TTTTGCTAAGCTAACCAGCTGCTTGCAGCAAGTTCATATTTATCATACACGCATGAAAGTGGAAACAAGCGAAGAAAGCAAATATAAAATGTCTATTCCTTTAAACATTGTGCAATAAGTCAAACAAAGCAGACCAGACAAGATGTACAAGCTTCTTACCTGAAGTAAAAACAGTCTCTCCGGTCATTCGCCATGGGCCTATTACACTTCAGCTCAGTGGCCTAGATAAGAGAAGTAAAAACTAAATATAACAACAAATATTAGTTATCAGGGTAATTACAAACCCGCTGTCTGTTAGTCTGTCACTCACTGTTTGAGGAGGTGTTTTTTCTGACACTCCCTCCCACAGCCACATGGATACAGCAGTCGGGTTAAAAGTTGTAATTGGGCTACCCTCATCAGACACCACGGTCACTGAGAATACTGGACACACACACACACACACACACACACACACACACACACAGCTGCTCTTAGTTTACTGAGACAAAAACAAATAATGTTGTGTTAGAGAAGAAACCAAATCTATTAATGTAAACCTGGGAATCTGCCTCCAGCAGGAAACTTGACTTTGGTGTCATATTCCACTGACAGGCTGACAGGTTTCTTGGGATCAGGTATGACAGTGAGATTCACTGATACACCATCGATGGGTTTGTTGTTGAAGGAACTTTTAAAGTCCAGCTGATGGTATCCCCTAGTGGAACAACAGGGTAACAATACTCTCAGTAACAGCAACTCTGGTGTCTCATTTCAGGGATCAACTTATTGATGGGAGACATAGCTTTTTCATAGTGTTATAATATTAGTGTAGGGGACACTCACTTTGTTCCGCTCACACTTTGAACAGTGAAACAGGCTTTTCCTTCTGCATTCACTGGTTGTGAAGAAACGTTTGCCGTTACCTGCAAGAAACAAAAAGATCTCATTGCATTTTTTCCACTTGTATCTTTCCGTACCACTCTTAAGTTCCTAGTTATCAGTGGCTTTTTAAATGTGTAGCTACACAGGCCTTGGGCTGTTTGTAATCCTTGTCAAGCTAACCTTCAGAGCTGGGAGTGAACACAACTTCACCACAACCCTCTGGTCCTGAGAGGGGTTTCCCCACTTGTCAAGCAGTTGGACAACGAATGGTGTGGGGATGCCGTGCCCATTTAACACCTGCAAAGGCTTATACATAAAAGAGGAGTGCCTTAACAGTTAGGTTGGCCTGCTGAACATATAGCAAAAAAACTAACTGTGGAGCAAGAGCAAGAGCTCCTTTCTTACTGGTTGTGGCTCGCCGACTAGTTTAAGCTTTGCAGGGTCTCCAGCAGTCACCTTAACCATGACACACTCCATATAGTCCCTGTAGGTGAAGCGCATCTCTCTAGAGCCAGGAGTCCCACCTTCAAAACATACTCCTGTCACCATGACAGAACTACTGCTCTCCTGATTTCAAAACA